GTCATTCCTGCTTTTGTTGCTGCCTGTAGAGGTTAATCTAGATCAGATGACAGTTTTTGCAATTTTATCAGTTAAATAACATGATACACGCAATTTTTTGAAATAAGGAACAAAAAGATCCTGTAATTCAAAATCAATGTTAAGCTCATCATATTTGATACTGTTATATCAAGAGTAAAGTAAATTTCACTGATACTCCTACATTTTAATGTTTACAGAAACTTCCCTTATAAGGGGAGTGTAATGTTTTTCAAATAATTATAAAGAAGGTTATTGTAAGAGTAGAAAAAAGTAGGAAATGTTTGTTCAATTTCACGAAATACACCATATAATGAGATTGGTTATTATATCTCAAGCATATAGAAAATCATTAATCTGACAAAATCTACCTGTAACCCAATAACACTATCCTCTACCACCAAGCAGTCTTTCTCTGATATACCCAGCTTCTGCAATGCTCATGTAAATTATGTTCACTCTGTTAATGCATAAAATAAATTTTAGATTTTCGTGTTTCAAAGTTCTTGATCATATTGTCATATTAAAAACCTTGGAAGCTGTCAGGTATATTGATGGGTCAGGCTTCTTTTCCTTTACATCATCACCTGAAAGTTTAAATAAAAGGACAGATAAAGTTAAACTTGAGTATTCAAACTACTTCCGAATGAAAAGAATCAATAAAATTTACAAGCAGAGTGGATATTATTAACAAGGAAAACCTAGTAGCACACACATGTATACTATAACTAACATTATGAGAAAGTGTTGTCCAACTTATAGGATGGAAAAGTAAACTTCTATACTAATTAATTGAGCTTTGATGCTGGGCAAAGCAGCATAGTATAAGGATTTGTTTGGAAAAATTTCTCCATAAGTACTTTTAGGAGAAGAAAATACGAATAGAAGATAAAATAAACTTCTTTCAATAGTCATATAATCAATAAAAGGAAATGTACCAGCAAGGAAGCAATCAAGGCTTTGAAAGCGCTCCTACAACAGAGAAAATGAGTCAGTTGAATGCAAATTAATAAATAAATCTCTACTCTCAATAGCGATAATATATAAGAAAATGGGCTTACAAGTCCTATAAGGTTTTCAAGACAGAGAATAACTGAACTTTTAGTCGCTGCAGAGCAAACAGCTAGCTTTTTCCCCTGCAACACCAGTTGGACAAAAGATGACAAACTTAAAAAGCTAATACTCCTTACCAACAGAATGATGAGTTTGAACAGTTCCATCAAAAGCAAGTATCACTTCAGGCAATGAAACTGAAACAAGAGATCACCACAGTGCAATAACACATAAAGTTATCTTACAGCATCTCTGGCCTCATCCATCAATCTCAGAACTCCAGGTCTGGGTTTCACCTGTGTCAAAACGTATAAGTGTTTAACAATAGCTTATCAAGAAGACAGATAACAACTTCACAGTTTAGGAACGTAGCTCATAGGAAGCATATAGAAATATACTCACAGTTCCCGACTTGATTATATCTTTGTATCTCTCAGTCTTCCAATCCTACATGATCAAAACAAGGAAAATACTATAACATCACATTCCAAGTGAAATTACAATTGAAAGGGTCAATCAATTAGATATTTAAAAAAAAAAAAAGAATTATAATAAAAACCAATACTTTTGCCATTCATATCAATCTATGATAGATAGGATGATAGTGTAAATAAGTTTTACTTGTAAGTGAATTGTAATTGAATCAGGGCAAGAGGCAAGTTTAGTAGAGTGAGTGTGAGTGACATGCATATTTCGAAATCCAAGTCCCAACTCGTGGAGAATGAGAAACTTTGGTAACTCAATTCATATAAATGGTAGCAAGTAACAACCTGAAGAGTGTCAATCAAGTTAGCCCGGTCCTCATCATTAGTTGGAGGCGTGGCAAACAACGTGGAGGAAGGCCAGCCATGTTCCTTAAAGTACCTTAAAATCCCCAAAACGGAACATCACAACACAATCAAAAGTAAAGTCGAGCAAGAAAGAAGAAAGAAAAGAACCATCGCATTTTGGGTTTGCCTCCACCAATGAGGTTCTGGAGTTCGTCATAGAATTGGATGTCCCAGTTGAGTGGGGCCGGAGAAGAAGAAGAGGGGCAGCGAACGTTGAAGTGAAGAAAGGCATCGTTGTAGGCCTGGCGATGCAGGTGCTCAGACTCGAGGATGACGCCGTCGCAGTCGAAGATGAGAGCCTGAAGCGAAGGTGAAGCAGAAGCTGAGACGGAGAAAGCGCGGTGCTTGGAGTTGGAGGAGACTAACTTCATTCTGGGATAGGAAAACCGGTGTTTGGTGTTGGGGAGATAGGAGTAGGAGGTGGTGGAGAGGCTCAGAGTAGAAGAAGCCATGTTATTGCTATGTGATGTCCCACACCTTCACTCTCTCTATTCTATTTTGTGTGGCTCTGCATTCTCATTCTCCTTCGCCTCTCCTTCTAATTTCTTCACACATCCTACCTCTCTTTTTTTCTGAGGACCATTCTTATTTATTTTTACCAATTTTTCTTTCCATTTTTCTGTCACTGATCACTCTTTCATGCACCTTTTTTTTTTCTTCTAAAAATATAAACTTTCAAATTTAAGTTGAGTTGACTTAGAATTGACATGAACATATGATAACAAAATTAAAATGTGAATGTTAAGTTTATAAATAAAATCATAAAAAACTTTGAAATACATTCTACTATTTTTAACAAAAAAGTTGTTTCTTCAAATATACCTCTTTTTTTCACACTCTTACTCATGTTGATTAAATTTATATGGTCGCTATAAATGAGTCTCGTTACTTGTTTAATGGTATTATATTGGTGGTAGCATATGCATAAATAGAAAGGAGGAAGTATAGTGGTGGGGTTGAGCTAAATGCATCATAATGAACTATTTCAATTCCATAGTAATTTTTTCTAACGATAAAAAAAAAAACACAGAAAGTAATACTTTTGGTTATAAATTGGAACCATTCTGTTATAATATTGATTGCTTCTATTGATCTCACGTTACATAAATTAGTAGAAGTATGTAAACTAAAGCTTTCTGTTTGGTATCTTTTTGCTAAGAAGGTAATTACTAATTAGGTCACCCGGGAGCAGGAGAGATTTAAGAAGGCGGGTATGTATGTCTTGTGAACTGGAATAAGAGTATCAATGAACCATGGAATGAATCAAACTTTAATATGACTGCCCTGTAGGTCTTGTGTCAGCAAAATGAGTTGTAAATAATACAGAAAACCTCATTCTTTTGCTGTTTGTTAGATTATAACTCATTTGCTGGAGAACTCTGTATATAAAATACAATAGATGATTCGGTCTATGAATGAATAATCAGTTCACTCATTTAATCTCACATTTGTTCATGATCCAAATGGAGAACCTAGCCATTCTTCAGTTGAGAAGAGATAAATTGTGAAATTAACAAGATGGTGATATGGCACAGGAAATTCGTCTTTCTTGTAACTGAGCCAATTAAGCTACTCTACCCTTAGAAACATCTGGCACCGTATCATGATGCTTAATATCAAAACAAAACGCTCCATTCTTTACCAGTCTCCAAACATTCCTAACTCATTCTGTTTTTATTGCTTGACTAGGCTACCAGTTCCTTAATTCCTACTCACAACAAATAGAAATGGAATTTCATGCTAGTGAAGACAGGAAAATGAAATAGATTTATTATAAGCTTGTCATTTGACGAAAATCATTATTCACAATTTATTCTGATCAAAAGTTAAGATAAATAGTCCCTACATTCATTCAGGCACATGGAAGTATAAAGATTTCCCACTTAACACACGTTGTACATAATTCAAATTCTGATCACTAACTCTACATCAAAAACACATTTATCACTGTTCCACGTCAAATTATTTCCAAGTTCCATTCTTCCATGAATCATTTTTCAAGACTTTTACCGGATTCCTCATCAACTTTCTTCTCCATTTTCCTCTCCTTGCAATCATAGAAGTAAATCACGCACGACACCCATTTCAGAGTATTTACCACAGTGAGGACCCCAATATGTACAAATATCCCATAACCTCCTTTATAGCATCCAAGGGAGACACACAACAACCTTAAATACAGTCCCAAAGCAAAGAAAACAAGCATTAAAAGTAGTCCTCTATTCTGATTCCCTCTGCTCAAGGAATATGAAACTCGAAAAGCCCCAATACCATATATATCATCCACAACTGATATCACAAAACCCATATTCCACATAGCACTCCATTCCAAATACACCATCAACAGCTTTGTAAAAGCTAGAAAACAAATCACTGCAAAAAGTATGTAGTACCCAAAACCCCTGAAGAAAATGTAACAGTTACTTACTGTCCATGGGAATGCAATCAAAAGACAAGTTGACCAAAAGAGCATATGCAAAGAAGTGATAAATGTGCCTTTAATTGTTGATATGTCAAGGGACGTTTTAAACATATCCACGAGACTCATGTTATTCTCTTGTGAACGCAGTTTTGAAGCCGAATCCATTGTTACAACCGCAGAGAAGAGCTCTAGAACATGAAGAGGCACCAAGTAAATGAATCCAAGTTGAATCAAAACAGGCAAATAATCCTTACTAAAACTTTTATTAGGTATGTTTTCCTCGAATCCGCCATTAATGAGAAGATATATTGTATATTTTTTTTCGTTAAAAGGTAGAAGTGATATAATTTCTGGGGTCTGAACAATAGTTTCCTGGAACAAAAATTCAAAGTAAACCATGACAAAAAAGAAAGGAAGGGACGTGAGAAGGGTAAAGATGATGAAGTTGATGTTGGTGAAATAGAGTGTTACAGATTCCTTGAGGATATCCAAGACCCCCAGCTCCTGCTTAACTTGTTTGCTTTCACTCTCCATATTCATTATTCAACACCAACTTTGATTCTAAGTGAACACTTGAACCCCTCATGCTCATTGCATATTCTCATTATAAAGAGATCATTTGACTTCATTCTACTTTCCTGGAAATACGTTTGCAGAAGACTTTGACTTCAGAGTTCAGAACTTAACTATTTTATGACTTGTATAATCGTTTTTAATTAAAATGAAGTCACTCTTTCTCCAACTCCTTTGCCTGCTATATTTTGTCGGTGCCTATTATTTTGTGACATGAGATATATATTTTTAATTTTTTTTTATATCTTTATATTACTTATTTTATCTGTTTTTCTTTAATATATATTTTGTTACCTTTCACTTTGAAACTTGGTTCTTGTAGCCATCAGAGAAATTGTATAGTCGACGGGACTGGATGGGACTAATAGTCCAATAGGCAAATGACATGTTTGGTCCCACTTGAGGCGTAATTTTTCTTATCATCATAGTTACATGAAATTAAGATTATAAACAGATTATCCGACTTCACCACTACGCTAACTCCTTGAAACGTGATTTCACACTGAAAAGTAATCGAGGTTATAGAAAAGAAAAGAAAACATAGTTTTAACGTTTTTAAGCAAAAGTTGATGTGTTTTTTCATGATGATGATGATAATAATAATAATAATAATATTTTTTAATATGAATTCATATTTATTAAAAATTATAAAATTTGACGTTATACTTTTCAATTAGGTCGAAATTTAAATTTGTGATTTTTAAACAATTTTTTTACAAATATTAGAAAGAGTATTAAAATGAGGATGTCATTACTATTTTTCTAAATTAAATATATATATTAAAGCTCAATTTGGATTTTATAGCATTTTTTGAGTTATAAATTGTTATTATTAAGACTTTTCTATGAAAAAAGTTTGTCTATACTCATAATAAAGTTAAAGTATGCATAAAAAAAATAAAAGAATAAAGTAAAAGTGTATAAATAAATTTTAATTTATATAAAAATATTTTTTTAAACATTCTTAATTTATTAATTTTATTTTACATTAAATTCTCAATTAGTTAATGAGAAGTTTATATAACTTAACTCAATTTTTACATTAAAAATTACTAGTTATTGAGAAAGTGTTGGGAACCCTACGAGGGAGGGGATAACGATTTTTCCTACACCAAACGTTACAAAGGCAGCATGGTCATATCTTCAGTCAAACAAGATATTGAGAGTGTTATAAGAACCTTATGGAACAACGATTTTTCCTACGGCCAGCGTTACAAAGATGCCATGTTATATCTTATCTTCAACCAAACAAGTTGAGTTGACCTATAACCATACATTAATTGCAACTTAACCGACCAATGTTGAATGTCTTCTGCTATTCATGGGAAAACTAGAACCCTACATTTACTCAAAAATTGAATCATGCACTTATATACATAGTGAAAGATAAAAAAGAGAAATTGAAATAGAAAAATAATAAATGATGTAACATAACAAAAAAAAAATAAGGACAGTAAAATAAGATTAATAAAAGGATAAAAATATTATTTAAGCGTAAAAATATCATTATTGAAGTATGTCATATTTTCTTCTTGATTCATTTCAAAGGTAACTGTCCCACGAATTCAGTCGTCATTTTAATCCTTTGAAAAAACAAAACTTGGTTGAGACGGCAAATTTGACTCAATCCCTTTAATTTATTGGGCACACTTGATACCATATTCTGTGTAGGAAATTTCAATGTTACATGTTGTTAACAGTGTACAAAATAAACCGGCAAGGAATCATTAGCATTTCAATGTTTCCCACAATAAAGTTAGTGGAATGCAAATTGAAAATTAATTTATCTATCTAATACTGAAACTGAGAATTGTTCGGCCAAAAGAGCTAAAGTCTGAAAATGTATGGTCAATTTTATTTTATTAGTAGGTCATTTCTTTATTCAATATTCTTAACACATTTTTCATGAACGATTTTCAACCTTGAAATCTATTTTTACAAGATTTCTCTGTTGCCAGGGAAATTTGATACACATTTCAACCGTTAAATGGTTAACTTTGCTTAATAAAAAAATTATTAAAAATATGAAATTTTGTATAAATTTTTAGCTTGTAGTTGGTATTAATAGATTATGAAATATATATAGAGAGGGGGAAGAAGGAGAGATCTACTTATTGTAAGAATAAATCTTTTTAAATTTAATACACTTAATAATTTATGTTCTACATTAAATTTCAATGATTTAGCAGTTTAATTAAAAAAATTTAATGCATAGATCAAGTCATAATACACTTAATAGTTTTTATTTTTAATGTGAAATATATGTTTATTTCACATGCTTCAAGAATAAGTCTACTTATACTTGTTTTATTGAATAATTCATATTTTACAACAAATTTTAACGATACTACTGATTATCCATCAAATTGAATCAATGAAATGAAGTATTAAATGATTTTTAAATTTTTTAAAAATTTACAGATTTGATATATGCATTAAAAACTTTAAATTCAATGATTGGATTATTGAAATTTGATGTAGAGCACGACTTATTAAACAAAGTAAGTCTAGGTATATTTACTCCTAAAATAAACAAACTCCTCTCTCTCTCTCTCTATATATATATGTGTGTATATATATACTTTATTTTATTAATTCAAATCAACATATAAAATATTTCGATGACTATCCAACAATTTGAAGTACTGAAACAAAGTATCAAACATTTTTAAATTTTTTTAAGAATTTGCATACTTGATCTGTGCATTAAGAACTTCAATTTCAATAATTAGATCATTAAAATTTGATATAAAACATGAGTTATTAAATGAAGTTTAAGTAGACTTACTCCTTATATATATATATATATATATATATGGATCACCTGCTTCAAGATTAATTATTAGTAAATTTATTTCATTCAATAACTCATATTATGTATCAAATTTCAATGACTCAAATATTAAATTAAAAATTTGTAATGTATAAATTAAATTTACAAATTTTAAAAAATAAAAAAATTATTTGATATTTTTTTTCATTAATTCAAATTGATGGATAATTATAAAATTATTTTATTTGCTAATTTGAATCTATATAATGAAATATTATATAATTTTTAAGTTTTTTAAAAACTTGTAAATTTAATATATACAATAAGAATTTTTAATTTAAGGTTGGATTGTTTAGATTTAAGGTAAAACAAATTTTATTTACCTCCCTTGCCATATAATTCTTACTTCATCCCTGGATATAAATGGAACAAATAAAATGACTCAAGTTAGTGTTAATAGAAAAACTACTTCTAATAACTTCAATGAAACATGAGTTTAAAACTTAAAATCATATTTTCAGATCATTATCATTATAAAAATTGCCCTTGACTCATACCAAACTCTAATTGAGACATGTAAAACGTGAATCCAAACACATATAAGTTAAATACTTTCCCAAACCCATAATACAAGGACTGCACTGACTCCAAACTATTCAACATGTATTAAACTATCAATCCTCATGTTTAATTCACATTGAATAGGGTTACACCACAAACCTGAATGCAGAGTTGTTTAGTATTTATCATAATCTTAAGCTTGCTTAGGAGTTGGGATATAGGCATTAGGAAACTTTTTATTATTATTATTTATTATTATTATTATTATTTTTTTGTAAATAAGACTCTAAGATGACATATGCACTTCATCTTAATTGTTTCTTTCAAGGTTTGATCATGATTTTCTTCCTTATAAGTCGTTCATAGATTGGGAGTTCCAATTTCAACGTAACAAACCTTTATGAAGGCAATGTGTATGTAAACTGGCTTACTAAATATGGAGCAGCCACTCAGAATGATTTAGTTTTATTGAATTTCATTTTTACCCGATTCCTCTTTGATCTATATGCTTAGCAAACACTCTTCTGTTGTCACTACATTTAGGAGTTGCTCTATTTAGTTTCTTTTTTCTTCTTGTTTTAGCTTATTTATGCTTGAAAAGAAAAACTCTCTCAATTGAGTGTTTGAATTATATATTGCAAGTTTAATTAAATTGTGTTAATATTGTAAAAAAAAAAATCATGTTAGCATTTAATCATGGATTGTTTATTAATATTTATAATAATTATTTTAAAAATTATATCTTAAATTATTTGTAATTAGTTGATGGTGTAAACTTTTCTTAAGACCAAAACATCAACTGTGTATTGTGTTAAGAATGAATTAACTTTAGCTTTGAAACATTTTTGAATCTTTAATGTTTTATCTCCAAATACTACTTTTTTTATTCTTCATCAAAAAAATAAAACCTTGAGAGTTTTTATTTTACCAACAAAAAAAAAAAGAATATATTAATTAAAAAGACGTCATAACATATAAACAAATTGGAGTCTCTTTTTAATATTATTACATCATCATGACCAGTAAATTTATCAAAAATATTTTAAAAATAAAAACTAGTTATCTTGTTATGTTAAAGGCTAATACATGATTGAAAGTTATTAGTTTTTTCGGGCTTTACTCACCTTAATACTGTATCTAAGATACATAGGGCAGAATAAGCACAAATTTCTTGCTCATCTAACTTTTATCATTAATGTGTATTATTTAAACAATAACATTAAAACTATTAAGTACGACACATTAATTAACAACTCGTAATTAACAGAATAAACTTTTGATCATCACTCACATTTTTCAAATTCTCTTCTGTTCCTCTACCCTCATCCCAAACACAGGATTAAGCCTGAGTAACGTTTACAGATAAGGTAGGGGATCACTACTTGTTGACCATGAGAGACTAAAAAACAACCACGTGAACATGTACCGTCTCGCAGGCAATGAAAATTCCAAGATAAGCGAAAAAGGTTATGAGACAGATTCACAGTGTGATAGATAGATTACAAAAACCAAAGAGAAATCAGGGAAAAGAAAAAGCATTAGCAATGGACAAGAACAAGACACAAAATTAGCAATTAATTAATAAACACAAACAAATTAAAATAGCAAAGGGGAAACTCTCTCAAAATTTAGACCCTAACATAATATTAATATAGCTGGAATATTGAGGTCTGTAACAAACTCTGTACAAGTGTATCAAACTCCAATGTATACGATCCATGCTGACGCAAGTGACGCATATCTAATCTGTTACCCTAGCTAGTTCGCCCCTAAACCACAAATATTAATTTTTAACAATAACAAAAAAAAATAAAATTAAGGGACAATTTCCATTTTACAAATCAATCAAGTGAGAGCATGTGTACAATTTTCTAAGGGTTGAAGAAGTGGTCACCACAGTGGCACTTCCACCCCAATGGCTTGTAATTGGAGTACCTGTTCCCTTGGGGAGAAGAAGGGTTAAGAAAACTTGCCATGGCAGCAGCACTTTTTGTAAGATCTGAAGGGTTAGAGTCATGGCTAGGCAAAGTTGGCACTTGAACTGCCATGCATGGATGACAATCATTGCACTTGTTGTGACAGCTAGGAGGAATTGAACCTAACCTGTTTTTCTCCTCAAATAACAGTTCCTACACATAACAAATCCATTATTTAGTACATAGACCATGAACATACACACTTAAAGCAGTTATTGGAAGAAGATAAGTGAGGGTACTAGTACAAACAAACATGGCTTAGATTAGAGCTTACCCTAGAAGAAATTTCAGGCTGTGGCTGATTGGAGGTAGAAGCTGGAGAGAGAAAATTATGGAGCAAAAGTATGATAAGCAAGGAGGTAGTTGTGTAGTACTGATAGGAATTAAGTGAAGCCATGAATGCATATCATGTCACTCCTTGAAGTCATTCCCCATCTAAAAGAGGTGGCAAAATTTAATGTAAGTTAAGTGAGATCCGAATGCCAGTAGTCCTCTGAAGAAACTTTAACAACTTGTGTGTGGAGAAACCAACCAAGAGAGAGAGAAGCAATAAAAGAAAAGATGAAAAAAGAAGATGGCTTTTACTTATTCTCTAGTGTGGAGTGGTTTTCTTCTCATGGCGTATAGCCTGAAGAAAGAGGAGAAGAGAGGTACAGAAATTGGAAGATGTGCTTGGCATGGAGCAAGAGTAGATAGAGAGAGAGAGAGGGTTCAGAGTGCAGAATGCAGCAGAAAAGTGAAAGGAACAACTCAAAAGGGTTAAGCAAATAAGGAGAATCCACATCAGTATCAAGGGACCCCTTGGACAGTGTTCTATTAGTAGTTTGAGGCTTGAGACTTTGAGCCTGGTTATTAGAAAAAATCATGGAAAACAAATGGCCTTGTCCTTTCTGTGTGTTGTGTGTTTAAAAATATCACAGACAATAGGGGGTAGTTCAAATTCGCATTTATTATGCTAACTAATTTTTGTCTCAGTTATCACTTTCCAGATTTATCTGAGTGATTGAGTTTGATTTTACATTTTTTACAATTGAGGAGTTTGCATTTGCACCTGCATCATTCATCTCATGTCTGCTACTAGGACTGCAAATGGTTTGAGTGGCTTGTGTTTCTGCTACCTCAAAAATGAGGTGTAAATTAATGGATATTTGAATAATGTTAGTTCTTGGCTAAAATGGAGGATTTTGGTTTTTTTTAATTATATTCTTTTTTATGTAAACTAGTATGAATTCTATTTATTACTGACCCCTATGGAAGACGAAGAAATTGAATGATTGAGTACTTGTATTTATTGCCTATTTTCTTTCACATAAAACTCCTACAGAAGTGGTCCCATGCGGGATCGTTAATATCATGTTAAATTAATTTGAAGGGGACTGGTATTAAAATTCAACTTTATGAACTTTACAGATGGTAAACATTTTATCTCCAAACCATTGAAACTTGTTAATCCAAAAACAGCAAAGGAATTATATGAATATGATAGACATTATTAATTTTAATCACAAAATGAATGATGTTGACATATTCTTCTACAAAAACAATTGAGACAAATATCATAGTTGATTATAAAGCTGTTGAAATATGAAGTGAATTAAGAGTTTCATGAATAAAAAATTTCAGTAAAATTCTTTATGCTTTCACTAAATTTTGAACAAATAAATCTCTATAATTTAATGTTAATAGGAGCATTGTATATAAGAAAAAAAAAAGTAGTTAAAAAGAATCTTTACGTTTTAAATTTTTTAAAAGCGTGATTTTATTTATTAAAATTGTTAAAATTTAACTATTTTATTTAATTTTTTAAATAAGTTCATATACTACGACAAAAGTTAACGTGCTGAAGTTGGTTTAAATATTTGTTTGGTATAACCCTTTTTTTTTTCCTTGTATATTGGCATAACTCTCTTTTTTTGGATTAGTTATTTTAAGATAAGATAATACATTTAGTTGTGGACTTGTGGCTCTATAATCAAAACAAAAATAGAACTTGGATTTTTGGTTGAGCAAATGTGTTGAACTAGTTATGCTAATAATTTTTAGTAATTTCTTTAAATATTAAACTATATAAATTTCACACTATAAAAACAATTTGGAAAGCTAATGAAACTATATTAAAAGTAACACACACAAAAAATAGTTCAATCTATTTGATTATTGTTTACATTATATAATTTATTTGCTTTTAATATCGAATAATATGCACTAATATATAAAATATAATACTAATCTAAATCATTTTATAATTTTTATATAAATGAGAATAATTATATTTATATGATTCGAGATTTTTTTAATCTCATTTATTTCAAATTATTAATAAATTATTAAAAAAATTATATTTTTAAAATAAATTATTAATAATTAAAAATTAACTTAAATATGTTTTTAATTCTTTAAATTTAGGATAAATTTATTTTTTATTTTTAAATTTAAAATTATTATTTTTAGTCTCTATAATTTTAAAAATATTATTTTAGTTCTTTAAATTACTAATAATATATTTAAAAGTGATAAATAGAGACAATTACATTGAATAAAATGGGTTTAATGTGATGCTCTCACTAATAAGAACAATAATAAATAGATTTTATGCGACGATATTTGACAAATTCTTTAACAAAATTTTGAGTATAAGGAATAAAATAATTTTTTAAAGGCTTAAATATATTTTTAGTATTTTAATTTTAAGGTAAATTTTATTTATAGTCTTTCCAAATTTAAAACTGATATTTTTAGTCTTGTAATTTTAAAAAAATTATTTTAGTCCTACTCAAATTTTTTTAAAGACCCTATCAAATACTATTGCATAAAATTTACCTAATAGTGTCTTTGTTAGCGAAAATATCATATTAAGTCCAATTAATTTTATATAATTATCTCAATTTATCATTTTTAAATATGTTATTAGTGATCTGAGAAATTAAAACAAAATTTTTAAAAATTATAAGGACTAAAAATAATAATTTTAAATAGAGGAACTAAAAATAAATTTATCTTAAATTTGAGAGACTAAAGACATATTTAAACCTTTTTGAAATTACAGGATTAAAATACCAATTTTAAATTTGAGGGAATAAAAATAAGTTCACCTTAAATTTGAGAGATTGTAAATATACTTAAATCTTAAAAACTTTTATATCATAATATAAATTATCATCAATTTAAAATATATTTTAATTTTAAAAAATATTTATTTGTTACAAATTTTAAATATAATATAATTTTTTATATATTAAATAATTTATATATTCAAATATAATATTTATATATAATTTTTTTAATAAATTTTAGCGATATAAATCATGCAGTTTTTTTACCTTTATATTTATCTCAATTTTTAAATCCTAATAAATGTATTACACAAATTTATAGGCAATTTAAGGATTTTACACATATAACATTGCAACTAAACAATGAAAAAGAAAAATAAATATTATATAAATATTTTATTTTATCCACAGTGATATTCAAACATAAAAATCTCTTATGTAAGTTACTCTAACTCTCTTACTATAAACACCACTTTTTATATACATATATACAACTCATACTATTTCTACACTATTAAATTTATTTCTACATACACATTATATGATAAAAATAGAGCAAGTTAGAAAGTAATAATTTTAGGACAATAATAGTACTACTTAATTACTGCCTTGGTTACATCCATTTTTGTATATAGGTTATTATTAAACAATTCTCATCCACTCCAACGATAAACACATTTTAACATAAGCTGCTTCTGAACATTTTGGAAATAAATTGTGTGGTTGTCATATATCCCGAAAGGTGAATTTCTAAAATTGATCTAACACACATCAAGAAAGCATTTCACACCAAATAAGTTTAAAGGGTATGAGAGACTATTCTGATTTCAGTTTCCTTTTGGAGGTTTAGGGATTCCTTGTTGTGATCTTACAGCTTTCAACTAGTCAAAGCTGCCATTGGAGTATTGACATTGCACTGAGAGAGTGAGAGGGATTGCGACTGTGTGAGTGACCAGACGTACGCAACTTTTTTGGCCACTCAGAGGAGAAAAAGATGTGTCTGCAAGGATTAAAATGTTTCCATTTTGTTCAGCTTTACCTATTCTTTCAGTCACAGGTAATGTACTGATCATCATATAAACAAGTAAAGTAATATTTTCTTTGTTTCATTGTTACAAGATGCAATTACTTTTATCAATAGCGAAGTAAAAAGGTTGCGCGAAAGACAAGGACACTCACGCTGCTTTTCTTGCATCTATTTTGATGTACCTTCTAGATGCTTGTTTTGTTTGCTCTCAATGCTGGATATACATTTTATTATTTTATTTTTAAACAAAGTAGTATGGGTAGGGTTCACATTCACATGCAATACCGGATTTAGTGGTTGATAGTTTCGACAATTGTGACCACAAACAAGCAAACGAATAATTGCAATGCGCATGTAGTCTTGTAGGCAATCCAAACCTTTTAGCGTAGCATTAAAAAAAAAAAAAAAACACTGTTTTATCCCAATTTTAACCTCTTCCATTCAACCGTTCAATGAAGATCACAACTGAAATTACTGTTGACGTCCTCATTGGTTTAGCAAGTTTTTAAATAATGTCTTAAAATTAAAAATATATATAATTAAGTTTTTTAATTTTTAAAAATTATAATCAAATTCTTAACCCTTTGCTTTTATAAGTTATATAATTTATTTAAAATTTTAAATTAGCGTTATAATTTAATAATAATTAACGAGGCTTCAGCATTACATTCAATCAAATATATATTTCTAAAGTAAATCCATCTAGAGAGTAGAAATATAAAATCCTAATGGAAATTAACCCAAAATTAAATCAGTCGTGTAAAACATGAGAGCATACATAGACAAAGAAGCACGGATGGATTGTGCTCCACCATGTCTTTGAAACCTAAAATATTCTCTGTCGAACTGACCTTACCTAGACTTTTAGAACATCTATAGCAAATTCTATTTTGTTCTTTGGGAATAAAAGCTTTAACTTCAGTGGGGAAGCTGGTCTAGTGACGGTATTCTAGGCAAGATCGATCGATTTTGTTTTTGCATTGCATGTATTTTATATGAATATGAATTCCAATCGACTCTGTCAATTCAGTAAACTTGTTGAAATCAATTAGAAAGCATGATCACTTATTAAAAAAATTTAATAATTAACAAAAAATAGAGACATTTCTCCAAAATGCCACATGCAAGAGTGTGGTTAAAATTGTTTTGCTAACGTTCCATTAAGTGGAAATATCTATATAGGTGCCATCCATATAAATAGATTAAATATTTAGTTTGTAAAGGCCCAGAATGACCTGTTTGTTTTAGGCCCTTCGCCAATTCATCTTAAACGAGAATATCCATAATTGTATGTTTTTCTGCTGTTAACGGTAGTTTTCAAAGTTAAGTCTCGAATGGAATTTATTTTGGGATGAGTTCTTTACTACATGGCCCTAACCAATAAACATTTCCAATATTTATCGATGATTATTGAAGTTATTTAAACATGACACAGAAACACGCAAGGGAGAAAAAAAGATGATGTACCAAGCCTTAACCCACCAACATAAGCATGAAGAAAGCAAATTGATGAAGAACAGCTTATAAACTTGAAATGAAAATACATGCACAAGCACAAAGAACCAACAGATAAGTTCCTGAAATTTTACTACAGAACTACTGGACATAGTTCAACAAATTCTCCCACAGTAGCTTGTCTTGACTCTCGCGTAATCTCTTCTAACCTGTACTGTATCCACAGCAAATTTGAGATACTCTGGAAAAAAAAACAATCATTATTTATGTGCTGATAAAATTCTGGTAACTTTGATTTTGTGTAACAATCGTTGATTCAGTGTACACAGCAAAAAACAAAGAATACTGCTCCACGTGTTGCCACTCCGAAAATTTGGGAATTTCCTTTTATTTTAACCCAATCTTCATATTTGGTGCACCTTCGATTTTACCTCATCCTCAGCTGAGTTAGACATTTCTAATGTATCTTGTTGTTCACTGGTTTCATGCTTGCTTTCCCATAGCTTACCCGCCTTCCCAATTGCAAGAATCAGGTCAAGTTGTTTTCGCTGTTGTTCCTACATGAACGCTCAGACACAACCAAGACAAGTCAAATTCAATGATGAAAAGCTGAGGATGGTTTGATAAGTAAAGTTGTCAAGAAGATTTTTACCAAGCCATATATGGTTAAACGGATCCATAGTGAATGTATAACTTTTTTCATTATCAGAAAATTTATTAAAAAAAAAAAAGTTTTTTTTAATTTTTTTATTTTACATTTGCACACTGCACATGCTCCAAGTGTAAAATTTGTGACTCAGTAATTTGAATACACATCCCAATTATGTTCTACGATTCAGAATATTTCTACCCAACTTTAAAACAAACATGCCCATTGTTTGCTGACATCCCCTGTAGATTATGAGTATATGTTAACACCCTTGGTTGGCAATATACACCCACATAATTCTAATAACTAGATGTATGAATAAAAATTCTAGGTTTCAATATAATTTTTGGTTTTACTTTTACCTATAATCTACTCAAATTTGGTTTTGGTCCCAATGTTTTAAAATTTAGGTTTTGGTCCATATAGTTTCATTTCTATAAGGCTTTAGTTCCTGCTACCCACAATACGCCACTTACCCTTCAAGAGATAGCCAAATCAAGACCAATGTCTAGTTAACTAAAAGGACTCAAACCTAAACGGAAAGATACTATAGCGTAAAGGGATTAGGGACCAAAATCTTAAAAAACATTAAACAATAAGGACTTAAAAAAAAGTATAGGGACCAAAACAAAATTGAGGTAACCTACACTACTTATACCAAAAATATATATTTTAACCTAAATTATATAATATAATTACAAACAAAATAATTCTACCTACCTTCAAAGTCCACTAGTATACAAGCATATTTGATTTGTAAATTGAGCCATAGGAGGGAGGATTACCTGCATTGCTAGTAAAACCTGTTGAATTTCACCAAGTTCCTTCTCCAAAATGTCTGATTGCACTGCTAATGCTCTAGCAGCCTCAGAATTCTTCTGCGCCAGAGCTGCAGTCTTCAAGAAATGAACAAATAATTAGATATCTTCTCCAGTCAGATTTTATTTTATTCTTTATTCTTTATATCGATTCAATATATTAAGCTTCAACCATTCATTCAAAAATGTTACCATGGCAAGGATAATAAACATTAAGTTAGTCTGTTAGTGAATGTACACTTTTCTATTTTTTAATAAAAGCATTTGAAAATTGCCTTGTACTAGCAATTGAATTAACATGAAATGCAGTCACAAAAAACTTATTCCAATTCAGACTTTTTAACACTAGTATGAATAATGTTAATATAAAATATTTTACAATATATTTCATATAAGTACCAAAGACAAAGTCTGGTGTTTTCGCTGTGCTGTAAACATCAAATAGAGCAGACGAACCCACATTCAGTAATGTGGGGAAACATGCTCCTATCCGTTTCAAAAAACTTCAAACTACTACAGTGTTAAGTTTTCATTTAAGCTTCATTATCTTTAACTTTGCCCCCATCATGGTAATTTTTATCATACTATTTTTTTTTTCATGTAAAGTAGGATATTGTTTTGTCCCCACTACACAAAATGTCCGAGTCTGTCACTAAAATGGAGTGACATGCCTCCACCACAGCATTCCTTGGTTTGGCTCTACTTTCTTTGTCTGGCCTTCCTCTCTTGCCATCAGATTGGCCTTGTTGAACTTCCCAGAATTGATGTGCGCTCACCTCTGTTGTGATATTCCCCATTTAGTTTCCATTTCCATTGTTAGAATTTGCTTGGTGTTCTTTGGTATTGTTCCAGTGAGGGATTGCAGTGTTTCTACTTCTGGTTGATGGCTATTATTTATCCCTTCAATATGATTTCAATGATGACACCTGTGATCTGTGATGTCTTCCTCAATCAGCAAAACAAGTGTTTTACGTTCTAAGGTCTCTAACTCTTCAACTCCTACAACTGAGCCTTTAACTATCTATCTTGGGCTGCTGCCATTCAGCTCTAGTTTAATGGCAAAGAATACTTACAAATACCCCTGAAATCCACTCTGATATTCCTACTACTGACCAGACCATATGCAGTGAATTGATGCTCACTGCTCAGCAGTGCAGATGTAACTTTTGTGGAAGTAAATCAGCAATTCAGCATAGTAAACAAAACCAAAAGGCACACCTAAGCCACTGAGGTGAGGCACCGGTTCAGTGCCTTACGGGTTGAGGTACTACCACTCTACCCATCAACTTCAGTGAGGCAATTGTTCAATTTTATTGCCTTACTGAATTTAATCAGTAGTCAATCTTATATGTTGACTGTTGTAAAATAACCAGAAGACGAGTCAACTAACTTACTAACTGTGATTCGAATGGGTCAAATAAAAATGTAAACAAAATAATTAGTTTTAAGTGATCACTGACTAATGGCAGCTTCAGGTTCTGTAAACAAACTAAATTTGAGAAGAATTAGTGGAGGATCACCAATGATGGGTATTGAACCATGTATTGATGAACATGTTGAAGATGAAGTCTTCTTTAGGGATCACAATGAAGAACTGATACGTTAGTAATGGAAACTAGCAAGGGAAGATGGTGTTAAGCAAGAAAAAATACCTGAAATCTAAGCAAATGGCTAACATAAGCTTAGTAAGAGCAAAAGGATACTGACATATGGAGCTTGATTCAGATGACAAATAACATGATGTTGAAGGAAAACCAAAATCTAATGCAGAAGGAAATGAAGTTAGGACACCTGCTAGATATAAAACCATCTATAGGGCTTCCACCTAACAACTTAAGCTTTTGGAGAAGTATCTGTGTTTAACATGATACCAGAGCATCTAAACTGTTAGACTCAAGAATTTAAACACAGAATATTGCATTATGTAAATAATTTAATCTGGTTTATAGGCCAGATTCAAATACGCAATAACAAACAGGGTTTTCCCTAACAAGGAGTCTCCTGCTTCCACTGAAATTGATAAACAACTACCCTCCCTTCCGTCTCTGACTTCACGAATCCAGTGATGATTCCACGAATCTATTTTTCTAATAAGGACCTTTTAGCAAATGCAGGCTATTATGCCTTTCTGTTATGATTTTAATTAGTAGGCCTCCCAAATTTGGTTATGAATCATAATCTGCAGAGTTTGTCAGCAATTTATTATTGTTAAAAAAAGAAAAGCTATTATGCTATCAGCCTTATTGTATTAAGAACCCTGCTCTTACTACTACTTGACCTAATTACTAGTGTCATTCAACAAACTCACCATATTATTATCAGGTTCAGCAAACAAACACACATATTACCCTAAGCATTCGAAGTTGCCAATCATGCATTACACACGAGATCCTTACAATGCTCGGCAAATGAAATCCCAGGAAACTCACTCACCAAGCATACTCCACACGTTCGAAACCATCACCACGAGAATAGTTTTCCAAAATGAGAGTAGTTACCTCAGCTATGGGATCCTTCAAACCCTTCCTCGTAACCCTAAACCTAACCCCCAATTTCTCGAGCTGTCTCGACAAAACCCTAACAACCGTCGCGGAACTCCTCAAATCCTCCTCCAACTTCTCAATCCTCTCGAGCAAGTTCACCTCCGTCCCACCCCTCCCCGTCTCCACGCACACGCGCCTCCACTGGCGCCTCCGAATCCAGGCGCCGACCGAAACCCCGAAAACAAGCATCGCGACGCCGAGCGGAGCGCCTCTGGCGGCGATCCCCGCGAGGAGGTCCTTCTTGGAAGCGGCGAAGGCGAGGGCGGCGGCGGAGACGAGGGCGGAAGAGAGGAGGCAGGAGATTTCGAGGAGCGAAAGGAGAGAGTCGAAATTGGAATCGGCGGCGACATGTTGTTGGGATGGGAGGTGGAAGGAGTCGGCGCGGACTGTGAGGGAATTGAAGCGGTGAGCGGCGAGAGTGAGGTGGAGCGGGCGCGAGGTTGAGGTTGCGAGGGAGAAGGAGAGAGAGAGGTTGCAGATTCTATTTGTGGCGCAGAGTGCGTGGGTTGAAGAAAGCGAGTGTGGGAAAGGGTGGTGTTGACAAGTGAGTATCATTGTTGCAAGTGCAAGTGTGTTAGTGTGGAAAAAGAAGCAACATTGATTATAGAATAAACAAGTAGATATATTTCTGAGCTTAGGTGACCAATGACGATAGCTTCCAGGACTAGAGAGCTAGAGAGTTGAGTATGTGCAGCGCCCCATCCCCATATCACTGCTCACTGCTCACACTCCCAACCTTTTTCTTTCTTTCAACACCATTTGGGACGACTATTTTACTTACATTATTTAAGTGCCGGTTTTTATTGATTTTAATATTTTATGAATCAAATTAAAGGAAAGTTTATATATTTAATAAGCATAATTTTTTTTTTTTTTATTAATCCACAATTTTATTTTTCTTATTTTAAAATATAGACATTTGATCTTCTTATTTTTAAAAATAGAAATTTTTGTTTAACTATCAATTTAAAGTTTATTAATCATTAAATTTTAATATTATTTGTGAATTTATCATCATTCAAGTGACATGATATATTTAATAATATAAAATGTAAAAATAAGAATTTTTAAAATAATATATATTTAAATATTATATTATTAATTATCATATCTTTTAAATATGACTAAAAGTTGAAATTTAACAATTAATAAGTATTAAGATGACAAAAATACCAAAATTTTATATTTTGAAGAATATGAGAATTGACTGTTTCTATTTTAAAATAAAAGGTTCAGAATTGCATATTATTAAGAATAGTGAAATCAAAATTACAATTTAATCTTTAATAAATATTAAAAAAATTATATTTTCTTTACCGCTCCTTTCCTACATCGCGTGCCCAATTCAGCTCAGTGATAAAACTCCATTTCCTCCAAGTTTGTTAGACTTTGAATGCTAATGCCTCGAGTTTAGTGAAAATATATGCCTGAGATGATACAGGTGTTCCATCAGCCCTTTTTCCTTGAAACCATGTCCGTGTTATAACAACATAGCTGGAGATGGTGAAAGTTAGACATTGAGACTGTTTGAGAAATCATTTAAACCAATGCAAACCGAGGTTCACTCTTTCTGATGCACCAAATGGTTAAGTAACTTTTTTTTGTCTTTTTTACTGAACGTAAATTTGTAACTTTTCAACGGTAAACTAAAAATACATTGGGTTCACTACCACTTGTTGTATCTATCTATTTCTAGCACTTCAACGCATAGAAGGAAAGGCAATGAAAGTGATAACAGAGGGAGATCAGATATTGTCAACTTGGATAGCGTTTTCTGTGTTTCATCTGGTAAGTAACCCAAATTTGGCGTTCTCAAAGATTTAAGGCCCTATCGGAGATATCGCAATTTACCAACGGCAAGAGGTGCAGTCTTTGCAAGAGTAGAGTTATAAAGCAACTAAACTATTAAGAACTAAAATATTTTTCATCAAGTTGTTAGTGCATGCGCTCCATCACAACTCCGTATCTTTAAACTAGCTGTAAGTGTTTAGCACTTCCTCAGGAAATGATTCAGTTTATCCTTTACCTTCCCATGATAAGTATAAGCCATCGAGGTCCATTTCACCAATCAAATTAACTTTAGCATCCAATTCGCTTTCAGCATTTGGGAGGGCCTTTCATGAGAAGCTGCCAACCTAGCTTTAACTAATATAATTTTGCCAACCCATGCCCTGTCCTTGAACCAACAAGGAATGTATTCGATGTTCTTGATGAGGTCAATTTCCTAATATTTGGAGACAAGCAAACAATGAACCACAACATGTGATTAAAGATACTTGAGATTCTGCAAGCCAGTCAAGCTTTTGGGTAAGACAGCAAAGAAATAAACAAGATTTCAGTTTCAAGATTTGCAAAAAATGGACGTAGGCAAAGTCTAATGTTGGCACAAAAAATATCCAATTACTGTAAGTGTATGAGAAAGATCCAAAGAAAAGTAGACATTTATGTGATGCCCTGAGAATGGAATGCTGAAGACCTACAAGAAATGCTTAACAAGGCAATAAGTGGATATAATAATATCCGCAAAGCTGAAGATTTCTTCAAGGTTAACACATTAAGTGCTCCATCTCATTGAACACACGATACAAACCTGCACAACAAGATCAGTCTAAAAATAATATCGTGCTCGGTATTTCCCTCCACGAAACAAGAGCCTAAAGGGGGGAAAGGGAGACAGAAATTGTCGTACGACCAATGTCATAAATTATAACCCAAAATGCTCCATTAAAACGCCATTTATATTTGAAATCTGATATGATGATAAAATTTAAACAGAGATTTGATCAAATGTTGAGTTTATCAAAGGATACACCTTCGGCCAGTATAAACTATAAAGACTGTCATTGCAGCGGAAATAGTCACCAACATAACATTCAATGGCAATTGTATAACATCTTCCAAGAACTACGCAAGAAAAATAGAAGTTTAACAGCAGCCTAATACAAATGGACAGTACTATTCTCAATTGCAGAGAATATAATACGGAACGAAGAGTGTCAACAATGCCCAAAATTTTAAAAAAAAATTTGCTCCTCGATGCACCATCTTCATATTACACATTCCGTATAAAAGTTCTAGTAGTACGGCATGTAACGATTTGGCCTTCTAAACCTAGGAGCCTTCCTGCAGAATATTTAATGGAAAATGTTAGAAAATTCAAAACATCAATCAAAACTACAGGGCATATTCATAACATATGCATATTTATATGAGGCACGCAACATACCCATATCCATAAGGGGAGTAAAAGTAAGGAGGAGTATATGGCCTCCTGAAGCCATATGCCATGTAAGGATTAAAGCGCCTAGGACGATATTGTTTCATTCCAGGAACATTGGTCCTCTTAGGCAAAACCTGGAAACACATGTACCCAAATGTTTAAATTAAATACTAGTAATTTAAAAGAATGATCTCTTGGCTGATTGAAACAATAGCTATTGAAACAAACAATAGCAACCTAGTTCAAATAACAACTCAATTGATACAATTTACCTTCAATTGACGTCCATGCAATTCAGATTCATTCAACAGGAGAGCCTCTTGAACAGCTTCAGCTTCAACAAATTCCACATAAGCAAAACCTTTAGGCTGGCCAAACTTATCTGTCAGGATAGTGACTCTGTTCACAGTGCCACAGGATTGAAAGTGTTGCTGCACTTCTTCTGGTGTGCACGCATAATCAACCTGTAAAACACAAATCAATTTCTAGTCATTTTGATGCAAATAATATCATGTTAATCCAAAAGGTGCTTACACTTGATTCAGTTATCATAAGAAAGAAACCAAATTCCAGAATTACATCATCACAGATCACACATATACATATGTTAACATTGTTCCCGTAAAAATGTATCATATTACCCAAATATCTTTAGTTGCAACAACTCTTATTAAAAATGAAAAATATTAAAGGTTATAACGTAATTAATGATCTATTTAATTGGGAATTGCATAAATTGCAACAATTCATATGAAACTCCAAAGCATAATTTCTCTGATCCTTCCATTCTATATTTACATTATTACTGTTGTCTCAGAAAGGGACACAAAAAATAAAAGCATAAAAATTCAGACAGACTTCTGAAAACATCAGAACATAACCATTCTACCCTAAAAATCAAGCTGACACGTTTTACTTTATTTTTTTAAAGGATGGCCACACTCTTAGATCTCAAACATTAGTGCAACTCATCAACAAAAATATGCATTTCCCCAACTCCTTAAACATCAGAAGAATTCCAACAGTTCTCCATAAACCCTTTCAAACTGACTCTTTCAATTTTTTTAATGAACAATTATTTTTTCTAACTACAACATCAACAGAAATATGCATTTTCCCAACTCCTCAAACATCAGAAGAATTTCATCAATTCTAGCTCCATAAACACCAACTCCAATTAATATGACATCCCAAGCACAAAACCTAACCAAGCTACACATCCCATATACATAATTTTAATGTTTATAGTTATTATACAGACTCTTCTTGAACTCTTGCATTCTACCCTCTAGTTTTTCATCATCCTCATAGCAACTTACAACAGCACCAACCTTTTTCTGGTCTATAAGTTACCCCCAAAAATTAACAAGTAATGCATCACCAATAAAAGATGACCAAGCAAAGCTTTACCGTATTGGTCAGAAAACTCAGAATTCTAACCCTTTTTGAAAAAAATTGCACTATTTGAATTATGTAAAATGTGATAGAAGAGGGGTAAAAAGGGTAAAATGAAAAATAATCATCCACTGGCAACTTAATTTGTGAAATGACTTGAAATGAGAAAGGACAAGCCTCAAATACCAGGTAGTCTAATTCACAAAGATGAAAACATTTATGAAATAAAGGGCCAGTAGGGAAGCAGCAGCTGCATACCCATTGGCATGTTGGCCAAATGACACAGAACAGAGGCACCACAGACCTCACTGCAGTTAACAATAGGGCTCTATGACTACAATTGCATGCCCAACACTTACAGAATGTTCTTCCAAAAGAACCACAAGCTGTCTCCTCCAGGAGTGAAGCTGATGCATCTTTAACACATTCTACTCCAGTTGTACCAGTTTCAGCCATCCATGAAATGCCACTCAGTTTACTCAACATATTCTTTATTTTTATCATCTTCAATTTTCTCATTTTTTTTTTCTCAACTTGATCTATTTTGCCTTCTCTATAATGTTTTTTTTTTCATTTTTTTCTTTTTTCTTTTAGTTTTTTTCTTCTCAATTTTTTTGATTTCCTTCCTGTGATATCTTATTAAATTTCACAAGCACAATATACTTTCTTTTCTCCCCTCTAGTACAACCCCTAAGTAACACCAATTACAGTGTCCCACACACAAAATACAACGTAAGCATCCCAGCGCTAATTATAGACCCTGAGTAACGACCCTGCGATCATAGTCAAAAAAAAGTCAAACCCTGTCTCCAAGATTAATAGTATTCACTCCAAGACAAAAGAACATGCAGTTTGAAATATATCATAGCAAAAGAAAACATCACAAAAGAAGCCTTGAGAATTCAGTTTGAGACCCATTCAACCAAATTTTCTATTGACACAACTAATAGAATTATAGAAAGCTTCAAAACCATGCCAATTTAATAGATGACGGAGATACCCATTTAATATATAGCCTAACTTAGGACAAGTCTTTATCCCTGGTGACAAAACAAGGGCATGAAGTTTCAAATTTTACAATTACCAAAAGTCAATCAAAGGACAGTCAGGAAAAAAGCTACATAAAGGCACAAGGGAGGTTTGCTAAATATTTTATAGATTAAGCTAAGTCCATAACATAGCGTTAGCAAAAAATGGATTACAAAAAAAAACAAAATGTACCAGGCAGCTCACAATAAAATACTCGACGAAACTCAAATTTCCAACTTGATAGGCTTATTTCTAGTATATTTGAACCACAGACTCCAATGACCAATGTTTCTTATTTGTTTTTCACTACTTTTTCCTCGTATCACACACAAATACCAGGATTAGAACAGTTTGAACTAAATCTATGAGCTCAATCACTAGTCTAAAGAAAAAGCACAATGGTTCAAAACTTCAAATAGAAAAACTAATGGTAATATGAAAATAGAATAGGATGATTCATACATTGCCAACAAAAACAGACCGAGCATCTGCCTCCTCCTTGTTTGCCTGAGAAGCAGCTGCATTAGTAGGATCTGCAAAAGAGATTCAATTTAAAAGTTGAAGAAAAAAAAATGACAAAACTCTATTTAGATTGTAGTCACATGATTTGGTAAAATCAGACTTCACAAAACCTACTTCAACAAAAGACATTTAGTATCATATTCTAAAAGGATCTCTACTAGAAAATGGCCGAAGAAGACGCCTCCAATGACAGTGGGCAGGCATCCCTCAAAGTTGAAGAAGGTGGCTGTGTTTCAAAACAGAGGGTGACGAAAGAGCAAAAGCCCTAGCTTTCACTTGAGTTCTGAAAAAATCCCCAAAAATCAACACTGGAAAAGGGACAAAAAGGGGTTTTTGATTCACATTGGCATCGTGCCACTATACAGAGCTATTTTGCCATGATTTCTCCCACAAATGGTGGCAACGGCTGTGATGGAAGACACTCCACACCACAGCAGCACCATTAATAACTATGGAATCAACTAGAAAGCACGGATACAACACGATATAAAGATGCGAAAACACACAAGCAAGGTAATAAAACAAGTTTTAAAAATGTTAGTACACAACAGACAACACAACCATAACATAATGTATAAAATTAACATAAAATACAAATATTAAATCAAAAGATAGAATTTAATGTTATCAAAAATCACAAGTAAGGTTTTTAAAAAATGGCCCGCAGCTGCGATTTCAACCACTACATAAAGGTATTTAGGGTTTCCCCAACCACAATTGTGGCCTCATCAACTGCATTTGTTCGAAATTCCCTATAATACTATCGGTGAATGCAATAAAACCAAAACTGTAATTTAAAACCTTGATCACAAGGATGAGTTTAAAGAGGTCTATATTCAAGATCCGGTGTGTTTTACGTTTTATCAATAATGATAAAAGAAGAGTTTAAAGTGGCTATTATTCAAGCCCTGGTGAGGTTTAGGTTTAGTCAACAATCTTAAAAGTGTGAATGAAAAATTCCACGTAAATCATAAGCTTTTGAATAGTGATTAGTGAAACGCCGCTAAGACATAATTGATTGATTAATTAAAAAGGGGATAATGAAAAACCTTGAACGCTGCCAATCTCCTTCTCGACCTTGGCTTGCATCTCCCGAAGAGCAGCTGCTTCCTCTTCCATTTCCTTCAACCGGCGCTTCATCTCGTCGAGCTCCTTGACGGCGGCGTCATCGTCGGCGGCGGACATGTCAACGTCTCCCTCCATCTCTCCCTCGTCGGGGATCTCTCCACCGTACACCTCGTGCTCTTCCTCCTCCATCTTCCGATTCTACACACAACCCAACGCAATCAACCCTTTTTTCTGCCCTACACTCTCTGCCAATAAATCGCAATGAAAATTAGGGTTCTGTTCATTATTTATACTGGTTTTACATGTTTGATTTGGGAATTCCACGATAGCACTGAATGTTCCTATCCGGTGGAGTTTAGAATTTTACTTTTATTAGGATTTTAGCACTTCCCATAATATTTTATTTTATATAATTAATTTTATGATAAATAAATATTTTCATATATTTTATATTATAATTAAATTTATAATAACTAAATATTGTTTAAATACTTAAATTATATTTTAGATTTTATAATTAAAAAAAATAGTTTGTGATAGAAAGCTAATTTTAATTATTGGTGATTTATAAAGTATTAAACTTGATTAGAAGAAATAAGATAAAAAAATGATAGATTAAATAATTAGTAAATACATTAATTTTAATCTTTTGAATGAGATAATTTTAATTTTTTAATTTCAAAATATAATTAGTATTTGAATTTTTTAGGTAATTATATTATTGATTTAAATATGATTTTAATCCCTCATATTTAAAATTATTTTTTTAGGTTTTTATAATTTTAAAAAATATTATTTTAATTCTTATACTCAAAATTTCTTAAAATTTTTTAAATATTAAGACATAAAATTTATTTATTAGTATTTCTGTTAGTAAAAATATCACATTAAATATATTAATGATGCATAATTATTTAAACTTATCACTTTCATATATATTATTAGTGATATAAAATATTAAAATGAGTTTTTTTTTTAAATTACAGGATTAAAACTAATAATTTAAAATTTAATGAAACAAATATTAATTTATCTTAAATTTGAGAGATTAAAAATATATTTAAATATATGTTATTGCTATGAAATATATATCCCACTCAATTACGTTTTTTTCATATATAATATTTAAATTTGAAGTCTTGGTTAAGGTGACTTGATTAATATTTTAATTTTTACAATCAAGTAATAATTTTTATTTTATATAACTTAAATTTATAAAAAAAAATATTTTAAAATATAATTTAAAAATTGTAATAAATAAATAAGTTATGTTTTAAATTTATAATAAATAATTTATATTATGATGAGACATGTGTTATAGAAGATGATTTTATAGAAACTTAAACTTTGTTTTGAAAGTGGATATTTTAGACTGCTTTAATATTGATACCTAAGTAACTAAGTTGAATGGTGATTTTTCATGCATTATAGCCCGAAGCAATCACCATGCGATGATACCTAAGTTGAAAGGTGTGCCAAAATTAATACAAACAAGATTCTGATGAAATCTTTAGGTTGAGAGGGGGTGTTTTGTTTGTAATATATTTTGAGACCATGAATGTGTATTTTTGCAAGCGAAAATAACAAATGTTAAATTACATTAATTTTAAGCATAAAAAAGGACTAAACATAAAAAAGAAAAAACACTAATCTTGTGTTCTTCCACGATTGATATTTGAAGTTGTGTTTGTTCTCACCTTTGATTTTTATTGTTGTACGTAGAAAAAGTTTGTTTTTCCAACATATCATCATCGCAAGCAATTCTCTTTATCAACACCTCACAACTCAACAGTCGTATCATCAATATGTGAACAAACCATTCATCAATGAGAACGTTTGCCAATAAAATCACTCAAAGTTAATTAAAAATGTAATTAAGATTTTAATACTCTTTTTCGTGTTATCATGAAGTAATTATACTTTGACCCGTTGATTTATTATATTTAACGCCATGTTATCACGTGTTCGTTTTTTTTATTATATCTTGCAACTTCACATTGAGGTAAAGAAGATTTTCTTTTGAAAATGGTGATTTTAGAGATTTTTTTTATTTTTTATTTTTCAGCGCGTAGCTGAAGGAGAAAGCATGATTTTCCATACACTCTAGGTTGAAAGCAATTTTTTCTCTGCAATCAATAAAACCTAGATTCATTTAAAATTTTGTTTCTACATTAAATTGTGTTCCTAAAAAGGAAATATTTCTCTCTTTTTATAATAGAAATCTCTCAAATCATTTTATTATCTTACTTTCGCGACAGGTAAACATGAACATAAATAAATTTTTAATTGGTTAAATTAATGTATTCTCTTCTAAATTATATTGGAAAAAATAAATAAATAAAAGCTTAGTAAGAAACAATTCTATTTAAAATCAACCGTTATAACATTCCTCAATTGAGCAAAGACATTTTGATAAGATTAAGCTTTAATACTTCCTAAACACAAATTTTAGTGTCTAGTTTTAATTAAAACTAGAGTTTTGCTTGATATTGAAATAAAACCTTTTTAATTAAAATTATTAAACATAGATTTATATCATACGCAAAAATATTTTTAGAAACTTTTCTTTAATGAAAAGATTTTAAGAAATTTTTTAAATTTTTATCTATTTTTATTTTTATTTTTCATAATTATTTATAAATTAAATTTTAATATTTTTAAAATAAATATTATATTACAATATAATTTATTTTATCATAAATTTAAAATATAATTTATATATTTAAAATCGTCTATTTATACAATTTTTAAATATAATTTATATATTTAAATATAATATTTATTTTATATATAATTTATTAAAATTTTAATTACATTTAATAAATATTTATTTTTTACATTACACCTACTAAAATATTAATTTATATTTATAAAAACGTTGTGAAAATTATATTTAAGATCATGTGATAATATATGTGTTTTGTCTGTGTGTATGTCTTGCAACCTTGAGTTAAAGCAATTAACAGAATTTTTAACTCATTTGAAAATAGTGATTTTAGTACTTTACAATATTGTTTTGAGATAAATATATAATTGACAGCTTATTTGTCTTATGTATTTTGGACCACCAGAATTTTGATAAAATTAGCGAAAAAGAAACACTTAATAAAAAATAACTTCTCTTTTTTTTATTTTTATGTTTAACTAGTATTTTGTCTAATAATACACATACATCTTTATTATATATAACTAGTGAGGTTGAAGTATTTCGTGTCTCTATTAAAAATAAAATAATAAAAGTATATTAATCTAATTATTATTATGATTTTAATTCTTAAATTTGATTAAAAAATACTTTTTTTTTTTATTTTCTAAAATAAAAGAGTATAATGATAAAAAAAAAGTGAAGACCAAGATGGTTACTAAAAAGGGTATCCCTTTTATATATTAGTATAGATTACAATTTATAACAAATATGTTTAAATATATAAATTATATTTAAATTTTATATAAATAAATATTTTTAGTCTATGAGTTATATTTAAAATTTAATATAAATAGTTTACATAATGACATAAAATTATTATTATTTATTGATAATTTATTTTAAAATATTAATTTTTATTTATAAATTAAATATTAATATTTAATTTATAGATAATTATGAAAAATAAAAATTAAATTAGATAAAAAAAGTTAAATTTTTTTAAAAAAATTCTCTTATAAAAAATAGTCTTTAAAAATATTATCATATAAGATAAAATATACATGTTTAATATATAAGATGTGATTAATAAATATTATTTTATCAATAAAAATTATAATAAAGATAATAAGATTTTAATTTAAAATTTTTGTACATTATTTTAACCTACACTGTTAGATCAATTTTAGTGATTCAATCAATTAAATAATTTTATAATTTTTCATCTTTTAATATAAATTTTAAATAATGAGAAATACGTGTATTTGTGTCAACAGTAGACAAGGCTGGATGGAAAGTAGTAAAAGAGAAGGGTGTTCCCAAGCGTTGTTTCTCTGTAGTTTCTCCCACTCATGACTCACCGCAATCACTTCTGAATTGTGATTGGTGGGGCACGTGTGATGCGACACGTGTCCGTCCCCTCCAATAATGAAAAGGCAATAAGGAAGGAAAAAAGAGTGTGAGGTTTGAGAAGAGTATATATACAGATATTGGTGAGTAGAAGAAAGGGTGAAAAAGCGTGGAAATGGCAGGTGCAGGAGTAGGGTATGGGGACGCGAACCAGAGGATAGACTACGTGTTCAAGGTGGTGCTGATAGGGGACTCTGCGGTGGGGAAGTCGCAGATACTAGCGAGGTTCGCCAGGAACGAGTTCAGCTTGGACTCAAAGTCCACCATCGGCGTTGAATTTCAAACCAGGACTTTGCTCATAGATCACAAGACCGTTAAGGCTCAGATCTGGGACACTGCAGGCCAAGAACGGTACTCTATCTTCCTCTTCACCTAACTTTCTTTTCCTTCCTTTTCAATCTCTTATTCGCCTCACCACCTCGTTTCGCGCGTCATCTCATCCTCGCGCCAAAGGATCGCCTCCATTTATCTCTTAACTAACCTTTCTCAGCTGATCGCCTTCTCTATTGGTAATCCATTTCTCATTATAGCACGGAAAGCCTTGTTTAGGTGATTTAGAATCACGATCAAATGATTTTGAGTTGAAGCAATTACTGCTACTTTTTGCTTTAGATAAAACATTTTATAATTTGTACTGGATTTTACTGTTAACTCGTCCAAATATAATTCGCCCCACTTTAACGTTGATTTTAACTGAAATCAATTATGCCAGATTAAATTCGTTCAAAATCAACTACCACACGATTAAGACACTGTATAGAACATCTACTAGGGTGAATCTCCGGGAATTTTCCATGAAACAAGGAAAATTCGGTTTCGGTCCAATAATGTTGATTAAGTGGAAAATTTATGGTGTGCCGTTTTGTAGTTCACTGTGAAGTGAATGATCTTCGCAATTATTTATTATCCGATATTCGAGTAGGATCTTGCTTCTTTCATTGATCACTTCTTTGTGTTGTGATTTTAGTCAGCTACAAATTAATGCAATTTTGTTACGGTTTATAATGTTGCGGAAGAGTGTAGACAAATGTGATCCATATAATCTCAATGTTGCCGGTAGGCCATGAAACTTTATGGTCCAATTGGATCGATGAAAAGAAAGTGGGGAAGACGAAAAAGGTTTGAATTTCCACTATAAGGAAACGTGGAAGGAAGAAAAATTTTGAATTTTTGTTTTTACATGTTAACTTTTTTCTTCTTTTTTGCTTTCACTTTCTCTCCTACCAAACAAAGAAAAAGAAAAAGAAATCTTCCTGTGTTGTTTTTTAAAACCTTGTATAAGATTTTAAATTGTGGCTGTGGTCATAATTCCAGTTTTGTCGTGATTCCTAGTATTATAAAAAAGTAAAGAAGTACTGATAAATATTTGCTTATATGACAGCAGTTGCGGTTCTGATAGGGTCTCAATGACCTGAAACATCTTGACGTTGCAGCAGTTATCGTTGTAGACCGTCTTTTAAAACCTTGGTAGTGAATTAGCTGGATTTCCGTAAAACCCTTTTTCTAAATTCTTTTATTATTTAACAATTATATGCAGTCACGTTTTTTTAATCAAATTCATGCACCAATGTTTCACAAGATTTAGCAATTCTCAAATTAGAATGAGTGTTTTTTATTGATGATTTTAACTTGCGACGGTGGTCTCAGTTACCGAAGTTGCTGGCATTGCCAGCCACAGGATACTGTTAATTCCTCCAGTTAGTTCTTTTCAAGTTTGCAACGTTATTTTTTTAGTAAAAAAATTAGTGTGGAACGAATTTCAGGCACAATGGCATTGCCCATTGTGTTGTTGCTTTTTAGTTTTTATGTAAAATCCAAAGCTACATACAATCCCGTTAGATTTGAGTTTGCATTGCTAGTTGCTGCTTTTGTCGGTGTTTTTGGTTGACGGATGCCGCTATCGTCTATGTTGTGAATGTAATGATGCATCAACTTTACAGGAATAGATACTATTGCCTTTTGAATTTTGATAACTCATTAAATAAAGTTGTTGACTTTCAAGCTCATGCATCCCTGCCTTTCGTTCTTCTTGCTCGATTTATAACACTACATTCTCAAGCTATATGACAAAGAATAATTATACAAAAGGAAAATGATAACTGAAATGTGGAACATCGCATGCATGGGTAATTTAGGGTATTATTTTGGAGGGGATTCCAGCTGATGGTAATGCATGAATTATTGCATGAGTTGCTTAAATTTGTTAGGAAGACATACAGTCTCATTCTATTCCCCATTTTCAACTAGATGTCACCATTCTCCATTTATGTAGCTTTTAAATAACTGATTTTCCAATATGGAGCACTACAAGCCTCTGTTTAAAACCGTTGTCTCTACCTTGAGATTTAACACACAGACAGAACACAAAAGAAGCTGTTACAGACCATCCATGGAAGTGGTTGCATGGACAATCTATGCAAATGGTTAATACTTGATGGGTGCTTTGGGTATAGCAAAAATATTATTATTTTCATTCTGTCATCTCAATCCTTCCAAGACTTCAATGATACATGTTTTAGAACTTGACAAATTTGATCAAGTAGCTTTAGCATGGGGGCATCATTTAGTTAAATTCCTTGTTCTCACTTATTTCTAATCAACAGTGTAGAATAGAACTACTTTTTCTTACATGCAATTCATATCTAGTTAGTGCTTATTCACATTATTAATTACAATTATTTGGCATAAAACGCCAAATTGCAGTTTGGTCTAATATTTTAATGTTTTATGGTACAGATACAGAGCAGTTACAAGTGCATACTACAGGGGTGCTGTTGGGGCAATGTTGGTTTATGACATCACTAAACGCCAGACCTTTGATCACATACCTCGTTGGTTAGAAGAACTGCGAAACCATGCTGATAAGAACATAGTCATCATTCTTATAGGAAACAAATGTGATCTTGAGGACCAGCGTGATGTACCCACGGAGGATGCAAAAGAATTTGCTGAGAAAGAAGGGTTATTCTTCTTAGAGACCTCAGCACTAGAAGCAACTAATGTTGAAACAGCTTTCGTAACTGTCTTGACAGAAATATACAACATTGTCAACAAGAAGAGCCTAACTGCTAATGAAAATCAAGGAAATGGGAACTCCTCGTCTTTGTCTGGCCAGAAGATTATCGTTCCGGGCCCTGCACAGGAAGTCCCTGCCAAGAGGAATATGTGTTGTCAATCATCTTGACTTCATTTATATTATGTTTCTATTTAGTGTATTTCATGGTTGTGTTTCTATTACCAATTTTTGAAGGTTTGGCTCATTTCTTTTTGTACATTTAAATTTAATTTGTTTGGGTTGCCCAGTGAACTACTGAAAAATGAAGGTAGATATAAATTGCTTTTTTTCTTTTTTGAGCAATTGTTTGGTTCAATATACATGGATTTTGTAGGTGACTTGATGGGACTTGGAACGTCATCGTGTGTCAAAATGTCATTACTGATAGTTCGACATTATATATTTTTCTAAAAATTAATTATTTATACACTTTTAGTATAAAATTTTTTAGTGTAAAAATTTTACACTGACAATATAGGTGTGATTATCTCTTTTTCTAATGGTCATTTTGCAAGCCCTGCAATTATGAACTTGCGGACAAGGTTTCATCATAAATCCAGAGCCAACGTAATCCATTGTGAAAGTTGTTAGGGAATTAAGACAAAGCTAAACAACATTGGATTAAAAATGTGCTTATCATCAAATTAACAATCATAATGGATATGTAGATAATGGGTTTATCTATTTTAAAATTTGATAAAATTCTTTTTAAAAGAACTAATTTTGAAATAAATGAATTTTAAAAACATTGATTTGTTTAAAAATGTTATTTTAAAAAATTAATTTTGTACAAATAAGTATAGAGTGAAATTACTTTTAAACCTACAGTTATTACAATAATATACGTAGTTTTATAATTTAAATTAGACTTGATATGTTTTGTAATTTAAATGTTTGGTTATTATAATTTTTAAAAAAATTTAAAAATAATAATGTACGTAGATTATTAACAATTTTAACTACCAAAATGGACATTTATATATTTTTGGTTTAGAAGACTTTTGTAAAGAGTAAAATGTGAAAGAAGTGGGAGAAAAGAAACGCTTTTAATTGTTTGGAAAATAAAAGAAAATGAGAAAAAGATAAGCGAGTTTTTTTCACACTGACAACCAATCATATTTTTTAATAGTGACATGTCAATTACTTATTTAATGAAATAATAATAAAATAATCAACTTTAAAATATATGATTGATTGTCAGTGTAAAAAACTTTACACTAGCAGTGTATAGATGATTAACTCTATTTATAAACCTATTTTGGTTATATAACTATATCATCTATTTTTCTTTCTCTTCTGCTTCTTTCTTTACTTCAAAATTTATTTATCTTCTTCTCATTCTGTCTTCTACACTTCTTTACTCTTAATATTTTCATCATCTAAACAAAGCATTAAGCTTCTCAAAATCTAAAAACAACAATACTATAACTAGGAAGGTACCTGTACTTTCTGCCCATAAGTAATATACAGCACTACATATAAATTCAACTAAAATTTCTGTTACACAATAAAAATAACCCTTATTAAATTTTAATATGTAAAATATAAAAAATCATTGAATATACAATTTCAAATAAGTAAAAGTATTGAGATAATATTTTAAAATTAATTAACAAAAACTTATTTATATTTTACACAACACATAGAAGTTTTCTTTTTTACTAATATCTTGGATGTTTTTCTACTTATGAAAAATTTACTAATATCTTGAATATCCTTTACCTTCTCAAAAATTTAAGATCATATGTCAGATTATATAGAATGAAAGTTCACTTGCTTAAGATAAATATTTAATCCGAATCTCTGGATCCAATAGTTATAAAGCGTGTTACAACCTGATACTCCAAATTCAATTTTTGTTTATGTTAAAATAATATTTGACCAATAAAAATTATGTCACATAAATACATATTAGTCTTTACTAATCAATTTTAAAATATCATGTGAATCATGTCTATATAAATAAAAAATAAATGGGAGCCGTTTGATGTTGGAAGTCTAAACCGTATTGCAAGTGTTTTCCCAGAAACAATTTATGAAACTGAAACTATAGAATAATATCAATATAAATATTAATACAAATATGGAACAATGTCTGTCTTTGAAAATAATGACGGGGTTAACAAAAACAAGCAACTTTTTCACTGATGTTTCGTAGGTGAAGGACAAAATCACCATTCTGTAAATGCTAAATAGCATTCATTTCTGTTACAACTGAGTAATAAATATTTGTTAAGTAGTCACTTTTAATTCACAGAAGCTTTCACATCACCATCATCATGGTCATTTTTACTGTTTAACTCTTGCACAGGCTGTACTTCTGCCGCCACATGCCCAGAGGAACCGTTTTTAGTGTCAAAACGTATTAAAAGCCTTTCAAGTAGTTCTTGGCAGTCCATAGCTGTAACCATCACACTCAATCTCGCCCTACCCTTCCAGCATCCAATGGCGATTGTGGATTCATCCACTTGGAGGGACTCGGTAGCAACGCTGTTCCCTGCAGAAAAAGAAGGCCACATATAAACAGATATGTCGACATAAGTGGGTATTAAACTTTTATCTAAGGCGTGGCGATACATACCTTTACTCATAATTACCACACAACAGCCTGGCATCAGGTTTGCAGCTTTTTCACCAAACTCAGCATCAATAAAATCTTCAAATTTTACATCTTTGTTCTGCAGAAGATGCTTGAAGTCTGCGGGAGATGCATGCAGAATCTGTTTGGTTATGTATGGGAGAATAAGAGGCAATCCTTCTGATGATATCCGGAAAGCACATGGTGCAGAGTTACCTTCTCGTGCTGTTTGTCTTTCCTGTAAGACGAAGGCAAGCATACTTCACTCAGTTAGTAGACTTAAGAACTAGTCAAAAGCTCATTTATTACTGAAAGTCAAGAACCGGAGAATAAATATTTCCCACAATCAAGAACTGATTAAATGATGTAGCTTGTGTCTATAACTAGCAGAATGCATGTCACTTAAGATATTCTAGAATGGATCCACAAAGTTTGGTTTGGAAAGCAGTTGCATATGACATAAACAATCTTTACCATCATGTCAAAATTAAATGAGCAGTTGACTATAATTCATATCCAATAATGTTTAACAGGTATCTAAAACTGAGTCAACAAAACAAATAGAAATGCCTAGGTACTGAACCATTTATGAAACAACTCAGAATTACTATTTTCTAACTAATATTCGCCACAAACAAACAATACTAGAGTCTGGGTTAACTTCTTCAATATCAATGTGTTGAAAAAATCATACACTTTAATTTTACAAATCAGATTCTGACTAAATTTGTCTCCCTTGCCAAGATCAATCTCCTATCTATGTTACACCATTACCTACCTAACTTTTTGGGCCCCTTCTATTAAAAAAATTATTAACATCCACATAAATTATTTTTACAATTAGCAGCATGAATGATGAATAAATCAACCACATAAAATAATAATACTAACAGAAACAACAATATCTCTTAATAGAGTAAAATATACTTACAAACATCTTCAGGCCAATTGAGGTTATTTTAAGTTGCTGCCCAACTTTGAAGTTCAACTCAAGAACATCCTTAACTGACTTGGAGATATAATAAATTCTTTTCACATGATTTACATCACTGTTTCTTGTAACAAGATGACCATTGAATGGAAAATGCTCATTGATCCCATAAAAATCCCTTATACTATTAATAATTGCTTCATCTTTGAAAAAGACAACAGGGTCAACACCCCTCCATTTGCCTTGAATTTGTAGCTTTCTTTTGCCTGGAACCCTCTTTGCCATGTTTGGTACATTGTTGGGCTCTTGAGTTTCCTTGGAATTCTGCTCGTCACATGTAACAGGACTAACTTCCAAATCTTCGGTATTGGGTTCATTGTCATCTACATTTTCCTCTGAAACGGATTTTAAGACTTCTTCATGTGTGCTTTCAGGTGAATTAATCTCCGGTACTTGTGCATCATTAAGACTATGGTTTGTTGGTTCTACACATTTCTCATCGATTTCTATTTTAGTTTTATCTGAAATTGCTGCAAGTAAACAATTACAAATCTATTATACCAAACAAAGGTTTGTGACAATGAACATAAACAAGGCATAAATGGTAACTTGGAATTATTTTCTTCGTGCAATAGAATTTCCTAACTATCTTTTAATAAAATCATCAAGAGAAACAAATGTACTCATGAAAAACTACCTGGCAGAGGAGAAACTTTTTGCAGTACAGCAATGAAGAAGGCTCCAGTGTTCTGATCATGAGGCACTATCCTCATGCAATGCTCTAGAGGGAAATCTGAAACTTCCACAGAAGACTCAGACATAGCAGGATTCTCTACGGCTAGAATACCGTCACCAGCATTTCCATTAACATTAGTAATGTCATCTACGTCAACATTACAACTACTATCAACAAGATCCTGATGGCCTCTTCCAGAAGGAAACATACTTGGAAGAATTACACTTCTACGAAACTTAGGAACATCTTTGTAAGAGACTAACCAAGTGCCCTTGTCATATACCTGCATCTCCAAATTTAAACACCTTTAAAAAATATTAAAGGCAAGCAGCTACAAAACAAAACCCCTCCCACATTTGAAACCACAAATGGAATCACATGTAGAACCAACAGCTTCTACTAGAATACATGCTCAAATTAAATAAACATAAGAATTTCCTATTTGGAAAGTTTAAAACTTATTTTAATACCATCGACATAAATGTGAGTATATATTGATGGACATCCAACTAATCAAATAGCAGAAATATGATTAGAAAGTATACACTCACTACCAGTTACATTCCAAACAAAAACCAATCAGAAAAACAGTATTCCAAGTCCATCAAAAGTCAAATACCAGGGAATAAAATCTATAGGGAATCCCAGGTTGGAATCAAAAGAGACATAGCTGCTAGGCTGCACCAAGATTTTTTTACCCACAGCTACAGTAAGGAATGTACACACATTGGAACACTGATTACCATCAAGGGGAAAAAATAGAGGAAACTAAGAAAGCCAACCACCCAGAGTTTCCTTCAAAACCCTTCGCATGGTCAAATCACACAATGTAAGGCGGCATTGTCTGCTAGAGAAACCACAATGAGATATAACACAATTTTGGCATGTATAGGTAGCAAACATATTTGTTTTTGAATATTAAACATATTATCTTCAAAATCCGACTTCTCAAAAAAATGGTAAGTTGGTCACACCAAACACAAACCTTCCATTTCTTGAGACCTGGCCGACGAATAAGTTGTGGAAGCTCACTAGAGACATCAAGAAGTTCAACAGATCCTCCACACCTCCGCAAAACCTGCAACACAACAGAAAAGAGGGTATAAAGAAAAAAGGATTGTGCACAGCATCTCTCTATATTCTCCTGTATTCTATTGAAAAAAGATAAAGAAAATGTATTTGGAAAACGTGCTCTTTTAAGAAGCTTTATCCAAATGTAACCAAAAATCAAATGACCATGAAGAATGTTAACATTAATCTCTGATCATGGCTGCACGGATGTCTTACAGGTACCCACACCAAGCATGAATGTGTCCTATCTATTAAGTATTTGACATGCTTCATTTTACAAATTTTCAAAAATGAGCATGTCTCAATATGTATGGCTTAAAAATGTCTCATAAAAGGGCAGATTTTGCAATGACCTAGCAAGTTTCCTTCTTTCAACTGTGTATCTTGACTCAAGCCGCAGAATCTTCCTTCTCCAATACTAGCACAGCTCTTCTCTTCTCCAATCTTCCTTCTCTTGCTCAATTTATTAAATGCCCTTTCTAATGGTCCTACACTAACTCTTCTTTTGTTCCAATTAAAAAGACACATCACAAGGTGCATTGAGACTTCTAGTTCCAATAGGTAAAGAAACTTTGGTGCAGTTGAACATAAACCTACCCCATTTTCTTCTTCCCTCAAATTCTAAAAAATAAGTACCTTGTAAGACTCATTAGAGTAGTTGCAAAACCACTATAATTCTTTTCTCCCACATCTTTGCTTTGCAAAATAGTTACATAAGCCCAAAGGGGACAACCATTTTCAGTCGTTCAAATGCATAGTTAATAGAAAATACCTAAGTATGGGTGGTGTCACTACCTGACTCGAGCACTAGATTCTAGTAAAAACGACAGAAGTAAAATAAACTAACAGAATTTAAAATTGCATTTACTAGTTAAGTCATGACATATCACCCGAAACATTTTTTTAAAAATGTAGGGAGGGAGAGAAAGAGAGAGAATAAACCAAGTAATAAAAGAGAAGTAACATTCATCCAGGGTTGTCAGGAAGTGAAAGGGAGAGAAAACTGAATAGAATCACTATACTGCAAACGGCCATACCAGTGAATGAGTAATAGAATGCTGTTGGAGTAGAGAGGATAAGAAACAAGAAAAGGTTGAACAAAATTGCCTAGATCATATTCTGCTGTTTGGACAAAATTTGCAAGTCCATGCCCATTTTCATTTACTTTAAAAGCAAGTACCTAAGGCTTGCCTGTACCAAGTACATACATGATACAATACAGGTACCCTAAGAAATTTGTGTACCCATGCTTCAATGGTAAATAGTCAATTTGTTAATCTTAGACTTAGTATATAAAAACACTTTTATGAGTAAATATAAGAACTAGAATGCTGCATCAATGTATAGAGCTCTCAAGGTAGATTACCTCAGCAACCACAGCTTCATTCTCAATAGGATTCATTGAGCATGTTGAATAAACCATTCTTCCACCATTTTTTAGTAAAGATAAACCTGAAAATATGAATACTCTGTTGAGATTACCAAAATAATCTTCAATAAATATCTCAAAACCTAGTTTTTAGCTAAGACAATACAGTATTAGTTTTTCTACCCAACAATCTGTCTTTAAATGTTTTAAAGCACATAATATGAAATTATTCCTTGTTGGTGCAAGAATGCCCTTTCATCCTCAGAAGACAAATAACAAGCACAACAAATTGACAAATGAGGAGTTCTAGTAACACTCTCCAACATACCCCTTTTTTAATAATTATTGACACTAAAACTTTCAACAAATGATCCTCACTAAAAAAACATACAGAGCAGCTCAAGTCACCATGAACTTTCTGTAGCTAAACCTAGTTGTCCATGCTAGATCAGTCTAGTTGTGTTCAATTATAATCATCTTCTAGTCAACAAAACTCTAACCAGAATATCATAGACTTGAGATTATAATCAATTTTCTTTTTGAATGCCAAAAAAAAATTTCAGGGCAAAGGGAGGCAATACTCAATCCAAGGCAAGAACAGACTACCAAATTCAGCAAGGATTTATAGACTAGTGATTAGTGAAATAATATATTGCCTAAAGCAAATGTCTTGAACCAAAAGACAATGTGACTATGTGAGACGACCACTATTGGTTATTAATAAATATTGTAGCTGAAAACAAAAAGAGTATGATGAGATGACTGCACCATAAAAGAAAACAGAAAAGCAAGACTAATGATGACAAGCACCTAATCATCAATGGCTGGCCCTAAATTAGATGCAGAAAAAAATTGAAAAGCACCTCGCATAGCAATTAAAACTTGTAGGCTGTGAAGACCCTGTCCCATCCCTGTGTTCCTGCAAAATGGTAAAATAAGTCTTAAAATATAATTTGGTGAATGACAAAAAAATTAAGTGGAGCTTGAGAAAGGAATAAAAACTACCATTTCCTCCACATATCAGGTGCCTTACGAAGGGTACCATCACCACTGCATGGGACATCACAAAGAACACGATCAAATAACAGTTGGCCAATACTGTGATCTAACTCCGTCCTTTCATAATTTCTGTTTAACCGGCATCCTGGGAAGTGTTGTGCTTCATGATTTGTAACAATTAGATTGGCTGTACACATTCTTTTTGTTTGGTGGATGAGAAGATTACATCTTTGGACATCAACATCATTTGCAATAACCTAATAAAAAAAATTTAATAAAGAATGTTCCCAATCATTACATGCCTAATTTAGATAGCTCTTCAATCCAGAAAATCAAAATGCACCTAGCTACCAATACAAGATAAGAGCAACAAATAAAGGGCAAAGAAACAGAGAGCAACATTTTTGTAATTAAAATGACACAAACCATTCCATCAGGTAGTGATCCTGCTTTAGTTGATTCGTGTATAATCTCAAGCAATTGGAATGTTTTCGAACCTGGTGCAGCACACACTGAAAAAAAAAGGAAAGGAAAAGTATAATAGTTAGAAACACTGAAGTTTGAATTCCAAAATCCAAATCAAGCAAATATATAATAAGGGCTGGTAAAACAACAAAAAGTACTGTATGCACTAGAAGTTGCTTACTATCAAGCACAAAATGATTTGAATGCACATCCAAGAAGAGGGGAGGAACCTAGGTTGCAAACACCGTTAGAGTGACATCAGTTAAATTCTTGAAGGATAGAACAAGTAGTAATAATCTACAGGCGCCATACTTAAGCATTCAAAATTCTAAAAAAAAGCCAGATATATAAAGTTACCCACCATACTGACAGCTTCCTGTCTTGTGATATTTCCAATCTCATTTTCTAGTTTTAGGAATTCATGGAACCTGCAAGATTTAACGTAATCAGAGGCAGCAATCGACATAACATAACATTTCAATTCAGTGTTTGGTTGTCTAAATAGAGATGAAACATATAGATTCACGTCATAATTGAGGTAATATCCATACTCAAAGTCCACGCAATCAAATATAACTTAATAGATCGTCATAATTTTTATTCACCTCTCAAGTGTTTGGTTCTTCCTGAGCTGCATCCTAGAAAAATTTGAATGCCAAGCGAAGTTCCCAGGGTACCACAGCAACGGCCGAATAGCCTCCGTCTCACCACCTTCAACAACCTACAAGGAACAATTCACAGCCAAAAATTAAAAAAATACTAACAAAAACAAAAACAAAAACGGTAGCAAGTAACATACCTCGTTACGAAGAGAATGCATGAAGTCATCCTCCAATTGAGAACGAATGTCGTCGGAAAACTGGCTACTGCAATCCCGAAACAAAACGATATGCGAATGAGAGAGAAGCATAATAGAATAGAATGGAAGAGTTTGTAACTGTTAGCGTATTTTTACCTAGAGTTGATTCTGAAGGTTGCGGGCAATGGAGTTCTGAGAACTGCGACGAATTGTTCCCACTGTTGCGGGTGTACAATTCCCTGCTCTTTGTAGTAAAAATCGAAAGCGTCGTTCTGAGTAGCGAAGGGAGTCCAAGAGGGATTTTCGGTGGAAGAAGGATCGTGATCCGGTTTGGAACGCTTCCACACATTCTCTCTGCTCTGGCGGAAATGCTTCCGCTGAGTGCGTGATCTTCCTCCCCTCCCGCCACCACCCATTGTTCACGATGCTTTTGCTTCGCTTGGCGGTTACCCGTTTGGTTTTTGGTAGGGTTTTGGCAAATCCTGCGGTTCGGTTATTGGGCTTTTCTGTTTCCACACCTGACCCAAAACCAACTGCGCATCCAAACTTTTTCATATCTATAAAGTAATTATTCTTACAAACATAATATTCAACTTCAACACTTGAAAATTTAAAAATAAAACATAAAAAATAACATTAATTAATTTAATAAATATTAATAATTTTCAAATATTTTTATTAAATAAAATATAAAAATATTCACTAGTATCATCAAAAAAACACATTCCATGAAAGAATCATTAGTAAAACATGAAATTAAAAAGGTTTAACTATTATTTTCTATGCGTAATTACATAAATTTTACATTTTAATTTTATAATAAAAATATTTCATTTTAATTGATATATATTGCTTTATTTTTATTTAAATTTCCCTAATCTATTCTTATGGCAATTAAAAAATAAAATTTATGTAATTATAAACACTAAAAATAATCATTCAATTAAAAAAAATGTGATTATAATTACTAAAAGAAAAATAAAATTATGTATAGAAACTAAAATATAAACTTTAAATTATAAGATTATAAGGATAAAAAGTAAATAAATTTATTAAAATAAGAGATATAATTTTTTTACTTTTTATAATAAATAATTTTCATTATATTAATAAAGTTTGCATGAGTTAGTCATAAATAAATTGATTACGTTTTAGAAAATTTTGAATAAAGGAAATTTTAGAAAATTACCGCATTTTTTTTATAAACTCAATAAAAATGCTAATTATATAAGATTAGAATAAAAGTAAAAGCATTTTTTATGGGTTAATGAACAATGGTGTTGTCGATGTAGTCTAGAGTTAAATTGACTGAAGGTGCTGATATGATAAATACATTAATCTTTAATCAATTTTGTGAAGTTTAAGTTTCAATTTATTTAATGATGTTTTTTTATTAAAAAAATTGATAAATCGACAATACTAGGATCAATTTATTAAAAAATATTTTTTTCTTGACGACAAGAAGTCGATACTCGATAATATCAAGCCCTATTTTGTTTTTGTTTCCTTTTTTTTATTATTTTAGAAATCTACCATGACATTGTCTACTTTCTTTATATTATACTTTTTTATAAATAAAAAATGTAGTAGAAAGTCTCATTGTCTACTTCATTTTTAACAATATATTTAATATATAATATTTGTTTGTTATAAATGTTAAAAAAAATGTCAATTATATTATACCATCACGATTATAAATATTTTGTTTAAATTTTTTATAATATGAGCTTATAGATAACGATTGATTAACGTTTAAATTGTTATTATAATTTTATACAAACTTGTACTTTTTATTTTATTTTATTTATCTAAAATTCTAGATATTTATAATTATGTTAAATTTTGACTCATCTTTTTTTATTCATAAAATTACATTGACAAAACTTAAGATCTCATACATATTATCTCATTCTAATCATTAGATCAATTTTAATGATTTAAATTTTAATTCATCTGAATTGATTTAAATAGACCTTTAAAAAGGTATAAAACATTTTTAGCATTGTTTTACTCACAAAATTCAAATATAAAACTTTACTTAAAAGTAAAATAAATTTGATAATTTATTAAAAAAAGTATTTAAAATATGTTTAAATAAATATAAACTCAAAAACTACATAAAAATTAAAAGAATAAACATATTAAATTGCCAATAATCTCATCATCCTTGTCTGACCGATAAAGTTAACCTGAAATCTATATATCCCCAATTAGAAAGAAAATCAATAAAAGGTTAATATTTAAATTTTCAAGCTTCAATGAAGGAGCAGTCGAGCAGCTTGATGCATCAGCATCGCTCACATTACATTACTTGTCTAGTACCATTATCCGATACCGATACAATGACAACGATAGATCACTTATTATTCAAATGTGAATTTGTCATTTCACGTTTATAATAATTATGAGAAAAGGGACATCGCAAATAATTTCATTCAACAAGGAACGAGGAAGCATGGTGCAACAGAAACCCAAGCTATATTTATATATATTATTAATTATTACATTAGATGATGAGAAGATATCTTAGTATATGATTTTTGGGCTAAGTGCGAAAGCATAAAGCAAAAAATCAGTAACATTCCCTTATTCCCATGACATAGGCAGAGATGAAGACAAGACAAGCTAGTAAGTTTGAATGAAAGGAGCATCAAAAACAAAGCCCGGTAGAGAGGAATTGTTTGATTCCCTATCCATCCATCTGGTTAAGGAACAACATCTTATCTTAAACTGCTTTTCAGTGTGCAAAGAGGAACATTGCAAGCAGCATCAGTCACAGTGCACAGACAAAATCACCGCTTGTCTCGATGTCATCGATGTCAGCATCTGCATCAATATCATCAAGGTCCATGCTGCCCCCAACAAACTGCTCACCTACTTTTGGGCCCTCACCCGCTTTCCTACCCTCTTGAATTATGGACAGTATTTCTTCAATGCTTTGTGTCTCACAAGACTCATTCACATCATTTTGCAACACCTCTTCACCCTCCTCCATAAATTCTAGTGGTAAGTTCTTTAGGAACCAAGGGTGCATCTTAATCTCTGGTATGCTAATTCTCTGTTTCACCCCAATAAAATTGACATCATAAAATAATACACTGAGATATAGAAGGGTCGTGCACGTACTTTAAAAACTTTTGCACTTTCAATCAATTAAAATTTATCATTATTATGACTTTTATGATATGGTATTGTTCTACAATTTTTCAAGAATCGAAATTTTACCTTCACAACAATATTTACATTTAATGACCATTTTTGTTTTTTATTATGTATATTTTTAAGGTAAAATTTTAATTATGATCAAAAAATAACTTCAATAAATTTTATTATATCGTAAAAGTCAATGAATTTATCGTATATTATTTTCATTTTTTTTATAATACTTCTTTTATTCTCTATTATAAGAAGAAAAAAAATTATACATTTCTTATTCCTAAATATAAGCAAACTGCTTCCTCTTTTAATGTATGAACTTATGATTATAGTATTTCTTTTAACATTTATAACAAAAAAATTTTATAAAAAATCTTATAAAAGTATTAAAATTTAATGCAAATAATTAACTTTCTTATATAACAATTTTTCTATTTTTTATATAATAATTTTGATAATAAATATTATGTGTAAATTAATTAAAAATTAGGTTAAATTTAATAATATTTTGATAATATAATAATTAATGTTATCTTAAAATTTGAAAATTGATAAGTAAATAAAAATAAATTTTTCTTAAAAAAAACTCGCAAATAAAAAAGAATGAAGGGGGTATATGATGGTTTGCGATTGAATGAACTTAGAAAATGTTATGTAATTGTATGTTATGTTGTGCAAGAAACACAAATAATTGTGTACCTTTTCTGGGTTGGCCACAAATATTCGAGATAAAAGGTGCCTGCACTCTTTGCTGATACGAACGTAGTCTGGAATAGAATAGTGGACACTAAGAATTCGCTGTCAAAATTATCCAAAATAAATTAATATATTGCGTGCTTAATTAGTTATATAACACTTGGACAAGTAAAGGGAACACATATTGTTTGTTGGTCCAACTAACCTGAAGTGTTTTTCTGAAGTTTCTTGGGTCTTCTGGGTCTTCAAAAGGATATGCACCAACCAACATCACATATAAGGTCACCCCACAAGACCAAACATCTGCGACCTAATCATTCTCAAGGATAAGAGAATATCGGTGACCAAACATTAGCTCCAAATGAATGAAGCCACACTTACATGATTGTAAAGGGAAAGTTTAGATGTAAAGTTAGTTACCTTCCCGTCATATTCTCTTCTTGACAAAACCTCTGGTGCAATATAGGCAGGGGTTCCTACAGTAGATTTTGGTTGGGAGTGCAAAACAGATGACTGAAGAAACATAAGACCACCAATACACCATTGATTAATTAACTATATACTCTGAAACATTATGTTAAATGAAATTAATTAATAAGTTCTTGCCTTTGAGTAACCAAAGTCGCAGATTTTAAGTCGTGGTGCTGAGCTTCCATCTAGAAGTGTGTTTTCCAGCTTAAGATCTCTGTGGCAAATTTCCTGTGACAAAATTACATCTTCAATTCAGCTAATTGAAGTAGCAAGACTCAATGTGAATCATTCATTGAAAAATAGACCCTTTAGTTTAAGATTGGACAAGAAAATGGTACCATTGAATGGCAATAGCTGACTCCAGAAATCAATTGCTGAAAGAAATATCTCGCCTATGCAAGCAAAATAAGAAATTAGGATGAAATTTTTTCTTTACCCTGTATAAAATAAAATAAAAAGAACAAATCCAAGATATAATGTCCAAATTAAATAGTAAAAATCTTTTAAATACAAAAAGTAAAATTATAAGAAACCGTTGATTACTTGTTATTCAAAACTTCACACTAGTGTGTATATGTATTTGTCTGAAGAAGAAACAGTGCTCCTACTTTGTTTCATGTAGAATGTACAGTCGATGCAATCTTAATTTATCACTATTTGGAATCTAAAAAGCTAACTAATACAATGGCCATCTAAGACAAAAGCACTATCATAAAGCCATCGAAGCTTTTCTTTATCAATTATAATTAATGATCTAAAAATCTAATCAACCTCGTCCTCACTGAATCTCCCAGCACTGCATATTCTTTCAAACAGTTCTCCTCCGGCAGCATATTCCATGACTATTGCAAGATGAGTTGGAGTAAGTAACACCTGCGATGAGTGGCCATTTCATATGTCATATAATCAAAATAAGGTATATAAATTATTTATAAAAAAAATAAAATAAAATAAAAAGATGAATTGAGCAATGAAAGAAGGATGAATGTAGCATCTAGCCTTGCAAGAGTAAAGGCTACTTATATATATTATAAATTATTTTGGCCATATCAAGCTGGTCGACGTGTACATAAGGGAAGGAATTTAAGAAATCAAATTGAAAACATTTCTAGTTCAGTTCTTTACATGATTCTGAAAATTCCTTTTGAGC